GACAGGACTCGCAGTCGTCGTCATCTGCACCAAATTAATAACAAAAATTAATGTAAACAAAAGATCCATCTTGTCTCCGAGAAGCTTCCCTAGTATTAAAAAATATAACATAAAATATAAAACAAAGGGTAGCAATTAATCTGCGCATTTTTAAGACGAAGGAGGGTTGAGCTGCAAAAAATGGCCGCTTACAGAAGAAGACGGCGAGATGCTCCACGTCGTTAATGAGGATCTGCAAGGTCTTTCTGTCGACGTTCTCGATGACATCAGGAGTCGAGCTGTGTAGGTCGAGAACCCACTCGAGAATAGCTTCCTCGTGCATCATGTCGCCAGTATAGATCTGCCTGAACTTATGTCTGTAGAATGCAAGTGCAGGAAGGCCAGGAAGATCGTATTCCTTCTCGATGCCCTCGTCGGAGATCTTGACGAAGTCAATGTCCTTCTCCTCGCACTCGTCGTCGATGTTCTCCAGCTCCTGGAGGATCTTTTGACTTTTCTTGTCCCCCTCCTTGTCTGAGAAGATAGACGGACAGTAGATCAGTCAATTACTCGAGCTATTAGAATTCCAGAAATATTTGAATAATACTGACAGAAGAACACGACGACGTGGTCGTTCTCGTCCAAGATGTTCTCCAGCATCCTGGCGTTGACTTCTTCGATCTTCCCGGGAATCTCCAGAGTATTTTCGTCGGTGACCCAGGAAAGAACTTCATCCTCGTCTTCTATGTCACCTTTGTAGATGAGGGGCTCCTTGTTCCGGAAGAAAGCGAGGGTGGGGAAGTTCTTGATGCCGTGTTTCTTGGCTAGGCTCGTGTCTTCCGTGGTCACGAAGATGATGCCCGTCTCGTCGAGCTCATCGTCGATATTTTCCAATTCCAGGAGGATGCTGTTGCAGTTGTCGCCCTCGTCGCAATTTCCACCTGGAGTACGGTACATACAATCGATAATATAATTTATGTGCAATTAATTATCGTTATCATTTGTTCAAGGCCAATTTTGAGGGGCCAGACTTACTGAAGTACACAACAACGTATTCGTGGTCATCGATCAGGTCTGCCAGGATTTCATCGGTGACTTCTTCAATGGTGGCGGTGTTCTTCTGCTCTATCAACCACTCGAGGACCTCGTCTTCATTCAGAAGATCTCCTTCATAGATCGCTGGAATCTTGCCCTCAAAGTAGACCAATGTTGGCAGGTGATCGATGCCAAATTCCTTGGCCTCCGCGTCATTGTCCATCCTGACGATCACTATTCCCTGTTTCTCCAATTCGTCGTCGATGTTCTCCAGCTCGTTCAGGATGCGGATATCTTGCTTGTCATCCTTGTCATCTGAAAATAAAAACTTACTTGAGTTAGGAAAAAATTCCACCACTAGAAAAAACGGATTTTCCATACAGAATAGAACGGCCAGATAGGGCGACGTTTCGATGAGCTTCTCCATCATCTCGTCGGTGACTTCCGGAATTTCGCTGTGCTTTTTCTGATGCAGCAGCCAGCCTAGCAGCTGGTCCTCGTTCATGAGATCTCCTGAAATGTGGGAAAAGATGTAAAAAAATGTCTATTCAAGCGACTTTTAAAATGGAGGATTTTATATGTCGATAATGGAGTCTTTACCGTCATAAATGTGTGGTATCCTTCGTTCGAAGAGGACCAGAGTGGGCAGATTTTCAATTCCGTACTCCTTGGCCTCATCTGCATCGTCGATCTTGACGAAAGCGATGTTGTGCTGGTCACAGTCATCGTCGATGTTCTCCAGCTCGGTTAGGACCTTCTGACTTTTCTTTTGGTTCTTGTCATCTGTCTCGAATGAAATATCTTGTCGTTGAAGTCATTCTATCGAGAGCCTTTAATGATCAAAAAGAATGTTCGAAATACTAACAGAAAAGCACAGCAACGTAGGGCATCTTCTCGATGACCATGTCCAGCATCTCGTCAGTGATGTCCTCGATTTGGTCGCTTTTCTGTTGATTTTCCAGCCACTTCAGAACTTTTTGCTCGTCTTCCAGGTTGCCCTCGTAGATCGTGGGAATGCCCTTCTCGAAGTAGAGCAAGCTTGGGACTTTGTTCATTCCGTACTCCTTGGCCTCTTCAGGGTTGTCAATTTTAACGAAGACCACCCCGAGCTGGTCGCACTCGTCGTCGATGTTTTCCAGCTCGTTGAGGACTCGCTGAGATTTCTTGTCGTTGTTGTCGTCTGAAGAAGTTCAAATGCGACGTTGAAGAGAATAAAAAATTGTTCAGGAAAATGGGTACTCACAGAATAGCACAGCGATGGTTTTCCCGTCCTTCACGAGGCGGTCCAGCATCTCGTCGGTGACGTCCTCGATCTCGTCCTTCTCCAGCTGCGCTAGCAGCCATTCCAGGATCTCATCTTCGTTCTCGAGATCACCTACAAAGATCGCCGGCGTTCGATCCGAGAGTGCCGATTCGAAATTACTTACCGATTACTGGGTGACGACGACCCCCTACCGTCGTAAACGCTGGGAATCTGCTTCTCGAAGTAAACGATCGCAGGGAGCGAATCGATTCCAAACTCCTTGGCAGCTTTGTCGTCGTCGATCTTGACGAACTGTATGCCGTGCTTGTCGCAGTCGTCGTCGATTTTCTCGAGCTCGGTTAGTACCTGCATGGACTCGTCGTCTCCGTGGTCATCTGCGGAAGAGCGAATTGTTATACCGCTGCGATTAAAATAAAAAAAAAATAAAATCCTTGGAATTAAATTCAGAATTTTCTCAGCGATCAGCTGATCTCGAGTCAATAAATGCACGAACAGAAGAGGACCACCAGGTTGTCGATGTTCCCTATCAGGGTGTTCAGGGTCTTCGCCGTCACGTCCTCGATCACGTCTTCTTCGTCCCCAGTGCTCTTGTTCGCCACCAGCCACTCCAAGACGTCCTCTTCTTTGCTCAGCTCGTCTGCAAAATGGAGGAAAATTGGAATGGCAAGCTGGTAAAGTGTACGCAATTTTATGGTACAACTCACGTTCGTAAATTATTGGAATCTGGTGTCTGTAGTAGACCAGGGCTGGGAGCGGGCCAAGATTGTATTCCTCAGCAAGGGCTTCGTCCGCAATTTTGACAAATCCAATTCCCAGCTGATCGGCCTCGTCGTCGATGTTCTCCAATTCTTGCAGGGCTTTCGCGCACTTCTTGCAGTCTGGCTTGTCTGTCCCATTTTAAACGAAATCAACGTTATTACGTTCGGCTCATCGTTCTGCAGTTTCCTGACTTTTTATATCTTTAGGTATTTATTCAATTTCACGATTATTATATTTATTTTATAAGAAGTGAGCTAATAGAGATTCTTGGGTGAGATTTTGATTGCTTCCTCGGACCGTGAAAGAGGCGATTGTTCTGGAGTAAAATAATTATCAGAGAATTGCACTTTTTGGCTCAGTTACCAAAAAGCCTTCTTCGGTTTCTCCCCAACAATTTACCAATGTTTTGTTCGGTCGTGAGACCGATTTAGCGAATGATCAGTAATCGGCCAGCCGCGTCGCGGGATTTACTACTTCGAATTCCCATTGGATGCCGGCCAGCAGTTAAAGCCCCTCGTCGCCAGACGAGGCCTTAAACCAGGTTTCGTTTTCTAGGAATATTCAAATTCAATAAACTATCCACTACGATCTTCTATCTACTTCCGGCTAATTATTAATCAACTAATCTGAAGCTGTTACGATCTAATTAGCTCGAAACTCAAACGCCCTAAAATCAAAGTGCTTCTCAGAGCATTGACTAGAACTTTATTTTATGAAACTGAATATGCAAAATATTCCCTGAATATTTCCAGGTTCGCCATTTCATCTGAAATATTTGCAAATCCTCAGCTGACTTGTATAAAGTAATTACTAACTTTAAGGCATTAACTGTGAACACAGAAAAAAGTTCTCTGAACAGGTTCACGGAATATTCCGAAATTCAGTCCCGGGAATTATTTATCATGTTTATTCTGGAAAATCTTCTTGACTTCCCTTAGGATTTCGAATCTTGGGAGAACTATTATGTCAAGCTATCTTGGATTTGGTTAGTGAAGACAATGACTATGTTAAAAACGTACTACTCTAACGAGGGATGCACTTGCTGCACTATTCTAGCCATCGCACACACACACACACATATGAACTGATATCTCATTATCGATGCATCATGGTTCCTCTTGGGTCTCTAAGATCTCTAAAAGGAAACTTTTGTTAGGGTGGTCGATCGATGCTCTCCATGAAATGCATTTTCCATCGGTGGTCCTTGTCCTGTTTCCAAAAATCGGCCTAAACGTGATCCGAGGACGGAATCTCTCGTGTCATTGGTATGTGACATGTCATGTCAGTGAGTGGAAAGCATTGTCGCGTAAAAGCTTCGTGGCGCAAGCGTTTCTATGGTTTATGGTGGATGGGAAGGTTCAGTGGCAAGATTCGGGTCTGTGTAAAATATCATGTACTTACTAGAACCGGTACCGGCACATCTCTCCGAATTCGGACCTATCCACGTCAACCCACACAGAAAATTTACACATTTATGTATTATTTACAAGTATGTACTTTTGCATAAGTGTATCGCAAAGTGGCACTCAACATGGCAGAACTGTATTTACACCTGTATATACCATTTTTTTAAGTAACTAATATTTTTTATTTACATATATTAAATTTCGATGCTCTACCTGCGAGATGAAAATGATAAGGGTTGAATCATGCTCTCAAAAAATGAATACATACGCATGACAGTGGCAGTTAATTAGTCACCCTTTTTCTCAATAAATTCCCTCGTCCACTTTACGATACGCAAGGATCGATCCTTGTCTCCAAATATTAATCACGAATATTATATGGTGAGCACAGAGGATTAAAAGTTATTCAGTCACTAGTGAACTAGATGTGAGGAAGGCTTAATGTTTATATACAAGTGAGTTAAGATGATTGTTTTGATCAGTGTGCTGTACCCTATCTTCATTGCTCCAGCACAGTCGAGAATAAAAATACGAGAGAGATTGTCATTCCCTTTTTTTCAAATGAATTCTTTCTTGTATAATAATTTCGTATATCTACGTAATTTTTATTTCTGCCTAAAACATTTTCGCCCCCATTCGATGAGATGAATAAATCTCTTTCGTTTTTTAATTTCCATTTATCTGATGAGTATACAATGATATTGGTTAATATAGGCAAGGAGACATAAATGCAGAGAGCATGTTAGACGACACGTTCTTTGCGCCTTCGGCAAATGTCATTGGCTCGTCAATAATTTCACGTACAGAGATACGACAATCAGGGTTCCCAAACACTATTTTTTTTTCTAACAAAGTATTTGAATATCAGGACCGTAGTACGAAATAGCTTTCCGTTTGGAAAAATTATTTTTGACGCCGTTGCGACGTCAACGGGAAAATTCGCCTACGTAGGAGGGACGCCGTTTCACGTCGGCTAGATAGAATAAAATGAAAGGATGACGTAGTCGTCTTCTTGGGGAAGGAACTTACAAAACAGCACCGCTACGTAATCCGTGTCTTCCACTATTTTCTCGAGGATCTTAGCATTGACTTCTTCGATTCGATCGGGCAGGTCCATCGCCTCCAAACTCGTCAGAAAGTCCAAGACATTCTCTTCGTCCATCAAGTCCCCTGAAAAAGAAAAAAAAAAACGAATGCAACGCATGTCAATTTTGAAAATGTATGAAAAAACATTTTCTACATTTTTTACTTATCGGAATTCACAATGAGTTTTCCGAAGGAACACCTGAAAAGTTTTCCTATCGTAATGAGCCTATTTAATGGCAAAGTGCCAATGTCGATTTGTGCAATTAAGCGAGTAAAAGCAAGCACTATTGGCATTGAAAAAGTAGCGATAGTGCAGTCATTCTTGCAACCCGTTGGCAACTGACTGAGGTTAGCAAGCTCGCTTAATTAAATTATTATTTCTTGATCACGTATTCTGATTAAAGCGTCGATTTTCTTCCGGAGTGATTGAAATTGTCTTTCTTAGATACAGATGAAAAATTTTATATGAATTATTTTTCCCTATTCGTTTAGAATAAATTGGTTTATAATTCGCGCGACGCATGGGACGTTAAGGGGTTAAGGGAGCTTCATAACCTCCAACAGCTGCCAGCAAATGACGAAACGTTTGCACTGTCTCTGCTTTTTCAATGTCAAAAGCCTCTGCTTTTACTCGCTTAATTGCATAAATGGGATCTGGCAGATGCCCGATGAGGATTCTTCCACTATGATGTAAAGACTTTTCGTGCTCGGCTAAATTTGGTTAATTAGTCTTCGTTTTCACTATTCTCTGCGTCTTCTCTAATCTGTCCGGGCTCGAATAGATTCGAATAGAAAATAGAACCTCTAGGATATAACGATTGTCGCCATGACTGATTCTTGCTTTCCTAGGATATCAATATTTCTCTAAAAAGTGTCTGAAATAAAGAAATGACTAATTTTCAAATTATTAAGATTTAATTTCCAAGGCTATGAGTCATATTAGAATTTTCTAGCCGTAAAGATGCAGATGTGACGAATTCAAGGTTTAACGGTCCAGATCGGATTTATTGGCGGAAAGGAACCAAAAGTCCTTACATCGCGATTCTTGTATGGGATCGCCGAAAGGCAACTCGCCAGAGTCCATTAGTGCAATTAGCCGAGTAAAAGCGAGGGTTTTTGTCATTGAAAAAGCAGAGATAGCGGCATCATCTCGCCTATCGTTAGGCCTTCCCACGCGTTGGCAACAATCGGAGGTTAGCGAGCTCCCTTAATTCCTCATCTTCGTCCTCAGCTACGGGCAACCCATTACATTGTCGAGTATCGCCGTAACATACGTTCCCGAAGTACACGTAATGCGGAACACTTTGGTCCCGTGCCAATCAGTTACTCGGGTACTCGAACGTAGGACGCAGCGATTTATTATTCGTCCTCTTTCGGAAGTGACGTAACGAATTTAAAACACCGTGTAAACGTCCCTTCGGCTTGTCGAACCCGGTAGAATATAATTTCGCTAATTTAATTCCGCACTTCCATCAAATAAATTGAGAAGCTAGGGGATGCAGAGTTTCAAGCTAGGCCATGATCTCGAGGTAGAAAGGAGTCGAATTAATTTCCCAGGGATCGACTCAAGGAATCGAAATTGATCGTCGGTGAGTCAGGAATTCTGGGTCGATGTCTATTGCCCGAATCGCAGACATTTCTCATTCCTGGCAAGGTCGGGACGTCGAATTAATTCCAAAAAGAATTTGGCTGAGTCGTTCTCGGGCTGCCTCGTCAAAGATGAGTCGCCGAGGGTCTCGAAATCAGACATTTCTAAGGGAGGACAAATGATCTTCGAGTTTTATTTCATTATTCGAGGGAGTCCGCTCACCTTCGTAGATGATGGGCACCTTCTCGCGGAAGTAGGTGAGGGCGGGGAAGTTCTTGATGCCATACTGCTTGGCCAGTCGTTTGTCGTTGATCTTGACGAAGTCGACACCGAAGGTGTCCGTGTCGTCGTCTATCTTCTCAAGTTCGGCCAGAACCTTGTCGCAGGTCGTGCAACTCCTTGCATCTGCAAAAGCGAAATTGGGACTAACTGAATGAAAGTGATTCGCCCTAGAATTCGAAAAAGCGCGCTCTTCCACATACCATACAAATATATTAATATATAATTCAGCATTTACGCGCAACAGGTACCGACATTTTAGGCGCTACACTTTCAACCATTGTTTAAAATTCATCTCAATATAGCTCTGTTGAATAAAAATAATAAATTCATGAAGGTGTAGATGTCAAACCAGAGGGCGGAGGAGCGAAAATTTGGTAGGGTCTTTCATTGTACTTTTGTTCGCCCCGAATCTGACAATGACATCTGACATTATCCATATTCTCGGCAGTCCTGAAAGTGAGACATCATACTACACGCGCAATCGCCTCGGTTTACAGCTTTGAGATTAATCAATCGACGAGTTCCGTTTACTATGATAGTCGGCAGACTATGACGTGGACACGTGGGCGGGATATATCGCGAGCCACGTGGTGGCTCAGGGAAGGTCCACTTTACTTAACATGGTCTAAATATATCAACGGGTCCTAGGTACCTTGAATACGAAGCTCGACACCCACGCTTACGAGCTCTTACATAACGAATCAGCGGGGGTGCTCGTGGAAGTCTATTGTACGTATGTCGAGTGAAACGCGAAGACGTGTAGGAGCTTTTCGAGAGGTCAGGCACGGGCAGAGCGAAAATTTTCCCCAGAGGTGTCCGCAAAGATGAAGACCGGCCCTGACCTTTACCTAGAAAACTGCATGCAATATCTGTCCCCGAGAATAAGTCTCCTAATTTTCCATAACTTAAACTATGCTTAAATCAACATTTCCAACCCACTCGACCCCTTTAATACGGAAGGAAACATACAGCGGCGTACAACGGGTAGTATCCTTAAGGGGCCTTTAATCTCCTTAGTCTTCCATGAAATCCTCACGAATCATTGAAATTTCGGCATTTTCTTCAGGATAAAGGGATTAGCTGTCGAATAAGTAGAAAAGGTTTGGCAGTATCGGGTTACCATCGACACGTGGAGACCTCGAATGACAGCCTCTCGTCCCATTTTCTTACTCGTCTACTTTCGACACATTTACCTGAGGTACGAAATATTTAGAGAGAAAATTTGAATAGAAAAATATCTTCTCGGGATAGGAATTGAAGAACATTGAAAAGAAGCCTCTCCATGATGTGTATAAATATTATCAGGGTAATTAGGGCGGTCGCGCATATTGGGTTACAGGTTCGGGTTCGCGGTCGCGCGTCGGCCGCGAATTCGCGGGCAATATTTGGGAGGGGAGGGCAGAGGAAGGTCGGAAAAGCCAGAAAAAGAGGTAGGCGAGGAGGGGCGAGTTTTCCGGCGTCGAGCGACCGGCTGCCGCGCGCTGTCGCCCTCCATTTTAGGAGATGGCTTCCTGAGAATAGAGCCGGGAAATCCGGGAGAGACGGCCGGGAGGCCGGGGGCGGCTTTCTCGGTCTTCGTCGCACCCAGCCTGGCGAGAAGCGCGCCGTCTCTCTTGTGGAAACGCTAACCGGCCCAATAACATTCGGCGCGAGCACTCCCCCGCAGTCGAGCGGGAGGTGGGAGGGTGGGGAGACCTCGCAAGCGATCAACAGGAGGTCCCTCCCCCTGGCATCCCCCCGATATCTTACCGCCAACTCCCCCGGGAGCGATTGGTCCATACAGTTGGAGACGGCGCGTGATTGGTCCATGCAGTTGGAGATGGCGCGTGATTGGTCCATGCAGTTAGAGACGGCCTCTGATTGGTCGATTCGGGGGACAGCACGGAAAGCACTAGCGAGCGCAAGCAGCGCTCGAGGGCTAACGAGGTGAGCCGAGGTGGATCCTCTTCGCGCTCGGTTCCACTTTCTGACACTCCGACAGTCTACGATCGATTGTCGTGGGAGCGGGTGCTCTATGATGCACTTTGGACACGTTATGGATAAAGTTAGAGGGGTTAAGTGGAAAACCGAAAATTGGAAGGATGTTATTTAGTTAAAAGTACATTTTTAACGCATTTGGGAATGGGTGACTGTATGGGTCCCACTGGTGGAGGGCTAACGAGGTGAGCTGAGGTGCCTCCTCTTCGTTCCCGGTTCCATTTTTTGACACTTTGACAGCCGCCATCGACTGTCGGGTATTCTAGAATGTACTTTAAATATGCCATGGATAAAATTAGAGAGGTTAAGTACGAATGAAAATGGAGAGGATTTTATTAGTTAAAAAAAGACATTTTTAAAGCATTCAGGAGAGAGACGGAAATAGAGGGAGTGAGCGATGTAGCATATTCATTTGTTTTGGCGGCGAATGTGCAAAGGGGCTCAAGAGAGGGGTGAGCATTTTTTAAATTCTCCCATCCCCACCAGTTCAGATAGAGTCAGCTGAGGGTACGTACATCAATGATTCTTTTACTATTCGTGTTCTATTTCCGCCTCGCTTACTTTCCAGGAGTCCGGAGAGGAATCTGTATATTCCAGTCCATTAATTTCCGACTATACTCAGGAATAAACCAGGATGTACTAAGCGGACGCGGTTACTGAACCGGCCCCGGAAAACTGGGAATATTCTTTAATAACTGCGTGAGGCATACTTCAAGCTATCGCCTAAAACTGCCGTAAACGTTCCGGTGGTCAAGCTTCTCCATTTACGGAATAATCCGCAATTTTGTTTTATGCTCAAAATTCCAACATCGGAGTTGGAGGGCTTAATATATTTAAAATAAAGTATATCTCCGTACTGAAAAATCGGTTATTCAAGGAGACTCTCTCAGGAATATGTAGATAATATTATTAAGACGAGGATATGCGATAATAATGTAAAATAAATTTCTGCCGAGAAAGGCGAGTCGCCTCGCGTGCTCGCGCCATGGACGCGCGTCAACTCGATCGGCGCGCACGCGTTGCTTTCCTGCGACCTCGATTGACCTCGGGATTTTTGGCCTAGGTACTCGAGGCATCGTACAATTATTAACACGTCGACAATGACTGTGCCCGCGGGTCACGAGGGCCCGGGTCGATCGGGCGACTCAAGCCAAATATTTACTGGAGCTTGGCGGAGGAGCCGCTCGAGCGAGCTCTTTCTATATCGGCGCCGATATTATTACGGAGCGAACTAAAAATACGATACACGAGCGGACAACCTCGCGAGTCGGATCACTGGAGACTTTGTGCAGGTGAGTAAATGGGATTTAATTCTGTCGTATGACGGATTTACATCGGCCCAGAATCCGAGATATCGTCACAAGACGCTGTTAATGGACGCCACCTGACGCGCACCATAATAACTCTTTCTCGAACGAAGTCGCGTTCATGGCCAAAATGTCTGCTCCAAGATCGTTTCATTCAATTTTAATTAAAACTTATATATGCATTCCTAATAAGTGTGCGTCATTGCATTTATGCCATGACGAGGGTGCCATGGTAGGTGAAGAGTGCGAATGAAATATTAAATAATGGGGTATTCCATGTCGTTAATTCGGAAAATATTGTAGTGGTACCATTGTGGCTGGTCGTGACACTTTCCACTTGGAATCGTGTATATACTTGACACTTCTTGACGGGTAAGCAGAATTACTTAGACTTGATGTTCTTGTATGTACAAGCAATTGCTATCAGTATCTGCGATCGTGGTCCCGGCAACATGTCATTTCTCCTCGTGTAAGCGATCCGCGAGGTTAAGTACTGTTGGCTGTGGTCAGGGTGCGGATGGATGACCGAGACGATAACCGCTTTCTCGGGGTTATGCCAAAATTGTTGAAAAATCCATTTCAATTTTGATGTACAATTAATAAGAGATAGCTGCACAACGATTTAAAATCCCTCCGGGGTAGTTCTGGTTCGGCGCCAGGAACGAATTTCGAATTTTTAATTTAAAATCTCCGTTTGGTGGTGTGTTTTTTAATTTTCAATTTTCATTTCACGCTGGGGATCGGGAAGACGAAGCCGATCGTCTGGGACGCGACGCGAGAAGAGCGAATCTCGGCTCCCGAGGGAAGGGATCAGTTCCCAGCATCCTGGGATTGGTGTGTCGGCGAATTCGGGACCTAGCGTTGTTCGGGTGTTCGGTGCTCGTCCATGGCCGGTCTCGTCTCGGGGCGTCTCTCGCGAACAATCCTCGTCGTCTCTGGCCGCCTATATTCGTCTGAGAGCGTCTCGATTCAAGGAGTCGGCGGACAGCCGAGTGCCAGGCCGCCTTTCTTGCGAGTTGGCATCAAATATCAACGGCCAAGAGACAGCCTTGGTCGAATTCAACCGGCTGATTTTCTCCGGGATCCCAGGAAGAGGGCGCGGGAGAAACTCCCATCAACTTTCCCCAATTTCCCAACAAACCCCGATAGTTCCAAAGCCTAGCAAAAATGGTCCATCACATACCTTCCACAAGTTCGGTTCGAAACATGAACAATGAGATAAGCCAATTCGGGGCCATTATCAATAGCAAACACATAGTACAAATCCAAGTACTTGGGGACTTCACATTTTCTCAGGCTTCCCGTCACCACGACCCGCGGGAATTTGCAATCGATCGGTTCCAATCCATCTCGTCGAATCGAAACCCCTGTTCTCAATTTCTCTTTTATTTCCTGGATATTTTTAGAAAGCGATCGTTTCAATTTTTTCCCTGCCACGTGCTCCAAATCCCGTCCCATGACTCTGAAAAATCCTCCCCCCTCGGTGCGTGGAAATTTCTATAAAAAAATCACCTCGGAAGACGAAGAGTCCAGATCCCCCGCCAAGGTCCGCGATGAAATAATAAAGCCGCCGAAGCGGCTCGACACGCGCGTCCACGGTTTTGTCCCACGTAGGTGTACATTGTGCCAGATCGCGCGATCCGATCCACATTTACAGGAGCGACGAACCATTACAGAGTCGCCCCATCGAACGTCCAAAGGGGTACAATTTTAGCTCGGCAGAGTCTAGCCTCGTGCAGAATGTCGCTCGACGAACGTCCGCATTGCGGCCGCTTTTCCTGGCTTTTGGACGCCGGAAGTCCGGGAACCCGCGAGAATTCGATTTCGGGATTCATCCAGGACACGAAAGGGGACATTTTCGCGGGACTCGGCAGGACCTTTTGCGGCCGGTTTGGGAGGGGTTCCGGATTCGCTCCGATTTTTCGCGGCTCGTGCGAATCTGGAGCCTCCAGTGGCTGATGGGGGACATCGTAATTTCGAGTCGACGCGTCAGTATGTCACAATGTTTTCAGGGTAGACGGTAGAGCGAGGTAGAGTGCCAAAATAACTCGGGTTCTAAAAGCGGTGGCTACCGAGCGCCGGCCTTGCCAGTGCTCGAATCCTCGCTACCTTCGAAATCCGCCCTGTTCCGACGTCGATCGGCATTGTCGATCCTGTATCGACGATTTTCGGCCCAAGGCCCCCAAGATCCCTAGGAGGGACTCTCAACGAGAGCTCCGTACGTGGAGAAAGAGACGATCGACCTATTCTCCTGGATCTATCAATTGGAAGGTTCAGAAAAAAAATGTACAAACTAATCGGATCGTGAAGTACGAAGAGCCTGGATAACGTACAAAGAGCCTTAAAATGGGATTTTTCAGCTCCTTTGAGCATAACTATCGATCGGTAAGAGTAATCTTTGATTTAGGACTAGGAACTTTGAAGAAATGACTCCAGTGGAAAAGGTATGCGAGGTGCAGCCGAAAAAGACATGTTTTTCTCCCTGATTACTGTTTCATAAGGTGGGTGGTCTTCGAGATCTCGCCTCGACCCTCGATATTTGTAGGCCCAACATTCTGAAGTGTTATGAATATCTATATTTGTATTTATATTCTCTTAAACTCGAAGATGCACGTTCCCTCGGGATTCGCATTGGAAATCTTCGTCTGAATCGATGAATTGATAGGAATCGAGATCCGACCGAATAACGTCTGGCGGGGCAAACGGCTGTCCCGGTTCTTCCTGGCGAAGTGGTCCGGGAAGACAAACAGCTGTCCCGGGTCCTTCTCGGAAGTGGGTCGTGGAGAAGCGGAGGAGCTTCCCCGGGAATAGAGACGAGATGTTGAAATTTTGGGGCAGCCTCGACCCCGAGGCTCACGAGACGCACGCAGGAAGGTCGGCTCGAGGAGGCTACCGACAGCTGTCAGGATCGAATTGCCATCGCCGAGGGACGAATGGGCATTTAAGGAACTGTCAAACCGCTGCCGGATCGTTGGATCATTTCCCTCTGTCATTACGTAATGGCGCACTTGTTTTGGCCGCGTCTGGACCTTTGGCCGGCGGCCTCAGAAGAACTCTATTGACTGGCGATCGCGATCTATGGATCTCAATTAGCGATCTTATCGGGTCGAGGATCTGGGATCAAGGAGTGGCCAGGATCGATGGCTCAACGGATGAAATTTTCGCCCCATATTCAGGTCAGTTTATTCGTGTTTCATTACCCGGCAGTGTTATTACATAATACATGGACTTTACAACATAATTCGATGAGTTAATCACGATAATCACGACGTGCCTTCGAATTACTAAGTAATATTTATATTTCCGTGTTATTGCGAGGGATCGAGCTTGCGAGCTTTTAAAGATCCGTTTAATTGGAGCTGAATTTGGCTGCCGAATGAAAATTCATGAAATTGTTTAATGTTTATGTCATGGTTTGTATTTCTTAAGTTTAACGAAACCGGAGGTCACCCACGGCGGATGTTACGGTTAAAATCAATGTGTCATCGCGGTATTAATTTCTAGTCCGGTTTTATTCCCTTATTGATTTCACGTGACTTCGGAAGTATTTAAGTTGGAAAAAAAATGCGAAGGTTTAAAAACGTCGCGCATTGCTATTAGATCATGTCTTCGGTTTTCAACTGAGAGTCTATTCACGTTGCTGTCGATCTTCTCGGCAGCTTTCAGTAATTGCAACAATTACGTAACGTAGCACGTTCGCCACGTGGAGTCGGGAGATTGGCGTAGAGTAAGAGGCATTATCCGAGAATTATCCTATCCCGGGATATGAATATCAATTCAAAGGCCGTTCTCTCATTTTCTACCATAACGAGATGCCATTAAAATGCAATTGTTGCTTTTAGGATTACAGAAATACGATTGCTTTAGAAGTTTTCATCGTTTGGAAGCAACGTTCAGTGACGGATTTACGTTTAAACTCCACCAAACCATTTCGGAGCGATTTGGCCCGGTCGGAAGGTTATTGTTGGCATTATAAATTCGCCTACGCGCATTATTGCCATTGCGATGTCGTTTGGTCGGGCCGTTTTTTACGAGTAATAATTTCCAAGATTCCTTGAACTATCATTCGTGCGCGTCGCTACTTACAGTTCATCATAATTCGTTTATAAGTTGTTCATTGCCACGAAACGGCCACCCCTGGCACCGTCGTCCCATTTCGTAATAAATACCTCTATTTACCCCCACATCATTTAAGAGTCTACTCGAGAAATATTTAGTCCATTGTATTACTCCTAAGAGCTCCATCGAAGTCTCTGCGGTCCCCCTTTAAAAATACCCCATCACTCGGAGCCCCCCCCATTAAATGTTTAATTACTCATAAATCATTTAAATCCTACATCGATAGGTACCATTTCTATCCGCTGCCCTCTTCGAGCTCTTATCAGAAGCCTCACTCGAGGCCCTTATCAGGACTTTACTCGACGTAGCCGCAACAAAGACACTTACACCAATACACAGCGACAAAGTCCTTGTCATGGAGAATGCGCTCGAGCTGCTTCGCAGTGACCTCCTCGATGACGGGGTCCTCCTTCTGCCTGGAGGCCCGAGGAGAGTCTTCGGATTTCGTCTTCGCGGCATCACTGAAACCCGTCAGGAGGCACCCCGGTATCACCAGAAACGCGATAAGGAGGTGGAGGACCCTGGTGGAGGACCACGGCACGGCGCTCCACCGCCGTGCACCGTTCGCCGTCGACATCGCCGCGCTAACTGGCCGCTTCTATTTTTGATTTTCGACCACCTTTGCATCCGGCCCGCGGACGAGAGAGGCTCCACCTTCGACGAGCTCGAGAGACCCTAAAACGATGACGACGAAGACGACGATGAAGACTGTCCAGGGGAACTGGGACCACCCTTTAAGGGGCATGGCGAAAAAAGAAGGTAAAGTGCGATTTAATTCCTATCCCACTGATATGGAGCGATAGCCGATAGGGGAAAGATAGGGCAAAGAGAGACAGGAAGATGGGCAAGATGAGATGAGGTCGAGGATCCTCTTGGCAGGAAGAAAATCGCTCGAGAGTGGTGGTGGTGAGGGTGGCTGTCAAGATGGGAAGATCAAGTAGCAGCGAAATTTCGGAGGAAATCCGGAGATGGATTAATTGGTAAGTAACTATTTAATTAAGAGGGATAGGTGGCAAGTAATAAGGGATCGATTTGGGAAAGATGGAGGTTCGTGTTTTGGATTTTACAGGGTGGATTCTTGCATTCCGGGATTTATGACTGAGGTGGAATTGATTACGTGGAGACTTCGAAATCGATTGAGAATGCATTCACGCTGATCTTCGAGTATTGAGATATGGTAAGAGGAAGGTAATGTGGTTATTTCTTTTGTTTATAGTTTTAGATTTAAGAGGACATTCGATGTTCATCTTGCACGATTGTCGGTCTGAAGCATGATGATTTCCATCGGCGTTGATTTTCTGATCTTGCTCCAGGCAGGGTTTCATCTCTTTGTTCTTGTTTATCACTTTTTAACAGATGCTTATGAGGTTAGAGTAACCAATCAGAGAGTCGTGAATATGCGTCGATCATTTTGCATAATCAATACTATTTACATAATCATTATTTTTATGGTTCGAATTAATTCGATCTCTTTCCTTTCCCCGTTCACAACACGGTCAGGACTTAACTATATCGAAACCTGTATGTAATCAATGTGGATAATATACCTGCCTTTCCTCTGAAATAACCCGTTCGAAGTCGTCAGTCGTTCAAGAGGCATGACGGCGAACGAAACGGCAACCTTGAACGTTGCAGTTGTTGGTGGTGGTCTGGTAAGTAACCTTAAAAGACATTAGCTCAACTATCTGCTGAAGCAAAAATTTAACTTAAAAGCATAAACGTCTTTCCTTAAAAGTTTTCAAAAGAATGTATGAAAAAAATGGTAACGCTTGATTTTCAGGTCGGTTCACTGACAGCATGCTTCTTTGCTCGGAGAGGACATCATGTTCGCGTCTATGAGTACAGATCAGGTGAGTGCTGAGGACAGACATTTTTGACATCCCATTGTTACATATTAAGATTCAAGATATTAATTTTTTAAACCGAGTATCGTAAGGATTTTCATGATCATCTTTATTCACAGACATTCGAGTCGAGGACTCCAAAGGGCCGAGTATCGACCTGGCCCTATCATTTCGGGGTAGGGAAGCCCTGAAGAAAGTGGGCCTAGAAGACGCTCTGATAAGCCAACATGGAATTCCCATGCGAGGGAGGATGTTACACGAAAAGGATGGAAGCCTTAAGGAAGTGATCTATGACAAAGTCCAGCACAATGTAATGTAATAACTGAAAGGTGAAAGCATTGATAAGCCATTTCCGGGTAACGTTTTCCTTTATCATTGTTGCAGTGCATTTACTCAGTCAGTAGGAAATATCTGAACGAAGTGTTACTGAACGGTAAGCAAAGCTTTGTTGAAAGATTTGACGTCATTTTTCAACCACTCATCTTTAAAATGTATGGAAAAAATTCTTGCCTTAAAAGATGGGGTACGTTTCTAAGCACGCTCTTCTAAAATTCCCTGTCTTGTTCCGTGATTTAAAAGATTCTCAGGGGATTTCATCGTTTTAGTTAATATTTTCCGAACCCGATTATATCGTTGGTGAACTCTATCCTCACGAACAATCCGGTTGGTGGCTTTGAAGTACAAGTCGTGGATTCGTATCCGATTACTGGGCGGCTCGAAGCCGCAAAAATTCGTGCATGTATCGCGTTACTCTTGCACTACGCAAGGAAAGTTCAAGTCAATGTCCACTACTGGCTAAGATTAATATTGCGACCGATCGCGACAAGGTCTTGACTGCGGAAAAAAAATGGTGTAACCGGGTAAAGATGTAAAGATGTAACGAAACGAGTACTGTTGCTTCAGCTGCCGAGAAGTACCCCAATGTCCATCTCAAGTTCAACGAAAAGCTCCTGGATGCTGACTTGGATGCTGGACGAATGAAGTTCCTCGAGTGAGTAAACACTTTTCGGAAAATTTGATCAAATCATCAGTCTAAGGGCCATAAGAATTTTTTTTCGCATTTCAGTACGAAGACAAATATAATCGAAGAAACTCATGCTGATCTAATAATCGGTGGAGATGGGGCATACTCTACAGTTAGAAAAATTATGATGAAGAGACCTCGATTCAACTTTAGTCAAACTTACATAGAACATGGATATGTCGAGATCTACATACCGCCTGGCAAGAATAACGAAGTAAGTCTTAAGAAATTAATTATTTTTGACATATTGCTGTAGAATTTCAGGAGTAAGTACATAATTCATTGTATTTACGTGGAAAGAACGTATGTATACTAATTACTATCCTCGTAAATTATTATTAATTTCTGTTGCTAGTATTTGATGAGCAACAATCATCTGCATATTTGGCCTCGCGGGGAGTTCATGATGATAGCTCTACCGAATGACGACAAAAGCTTCACGGGCAATCTTTTCGCGCCATTTGATATTCTTCTGCGACTTAACACTGCTGAGAATATTATCGAGTTTTATCAGAAACAATTTCCTGACGTCGTGCCTCTGATTGGAAAGGAAAGACTGCTTGAGATTTTCCTCAGCAGTGAACCGAAGACCCTTATTTCGGTGAAAGTAAAACAATTTTGTCCTCACTACCAAAACCTTTGGGATTATGACTTTTAAATGATTACCAATTAGGGTTTATAAACAAATTTTCTCCTAATTTAGTGTAAACCATTCCACGTGGGAAACACGGCACTTCTCGTTGGTGATGCTGCACATGCAATGGTGCCATTTTATGCTCAAGGGATGAATGCGGTAAGAATTGTAAAAATTCATGCATTGATAAAAGATTATTCTAACAGTCTTTATACAATTTTCTTCCTTTTCCTGATAGGGTTTCGAAGACGTCCTCATCTTGGATGAACTCATGGAACGTTATAATTCTGATCTAAGCAAAGTATTACCAGCATTTTCGAAAATTCGTTGCGATGATGCCCACGCAATCTGCGACCTTGCCATGTATAACTATATCGAGGTACGTTGCTATTGTTTAAACAAATTAACATTTTTATGTAATACGTTGGATGATTATTTTTTCTTGGGTAGATGCGAGATCTCGTGAGGAAACGATCTTTCTTGTTTCGGAAATATTTGGATACGATTCTGCAGAAGCTTTTTCCAAAAACCTGGATACCCTTGTACAGTACAGTGCATTTTACAAGAATGGAATTCTGCAAGTGTATCTCTAACAAAGCATGGCAGGACAAGGTAAAAAATATATATATATATTTTTTATTAATATTGGACAGAACGTTCTTCTGATTATTATATTTTTTGCAGATACTCCGAAGAATCTTCTGGTGCTTGGCTGCAGTCAGTTTAGCAACTTTCATTGCTTTAGCAAGTGGAAAGACTTCATAAAAATCGTTTTTGCTACATGAAGTCAAAAGACATCTCAGAAATCGCTTTCTGCATTAAAATCGCTTTCGTCCACTTCGTCAAATATTACCGTCCCTTACATTTACGAATTACATCCTATTCTGCACAATATATACAACGATATTAAAAATCAATAAGTACACAGCCTAAATGAAAAGTGAAACTAATTAAACGATAAAAAGGTACATGAAAAACAGCTTTTTACATTTATACCTATATATAAAAGGAAGTGATAAACGTTTTGCAAATTGATCAATACGTTTCCTGATGCCTGGATATGAGATCTCCTTAAACCAGCCACCAATTAGTTAATCTCCTCCGAGTGGAATACTTTTCGGAATTGTCGATAGTTTTCCTCAGTCAAATTCTAGATGAACGACGAAGTTCAGGATCATAGGCTGTGGGACGCCACTTAAATCTTTGGGATCAAGCAGTGAAATCCTCGGTCAATCCACCTTTTGGAGAGAGAGATTTTTAGTCTTGATCTCTCATTCGATTATAAGCGATGTGTCAGGATTTGCCAGGTACTCGTGTTTGTATTTGTCGAAAAATTCTGTCAAGCGGTCTATGAATTTCGCGTGGTACTCGTCGACCTGCTCGGTCGTTGGTTTTGGAATTTTTGGAATTTCCATCGGTGAGCCCACTAAAAATCAAAATTAATTTAACCGGTCTCTTATAAAACAATTCATGATTTATAAGGGAACACGTCGACTTGCCGACAACAGTGATAGGTCTCCTTTGAGGCAGCAATCCAAAGGAATATTGGAACATCCCTCGACCAAGAAACAGGACCGGAGCTATTCCCGTGCAGTTTTTGAAAAACTCCTGGAACTTTCTCAAAAACGACCCCTCTGGATTGTTCACTTGGTCGTACAAATCCGTCTCTCCGAATGAGAAAACTGGAACCAGAGGAGTTCTGAAAGAGAAACGAAAGATGCATCACGGACGAGCGTAAGTATTTCTATGAACAATTAAACTTTTTCGGGTTTACTAACCCATGTTTTAGGGCGAGCTTTACGAAACCCTTCCTTCTCTTCAGGACGATTCGATATGACCCTGGCTTGCACTCCAAAGCTTCTGAAGCTCCTCCAACGATCAGTACTGTTGCTCTTCCGGTTTCAGGGCCTCCGATAAGATATTCTATACTGTTCGCACTCGCACTGCAAGCCCCTGAAATTCGTAAATTAATTAGTAAAAATCCCCCGGCAGAACGCTAAAGCTTTTTTAATTAATCAATCGAATTTAAAAAGCTATACTTACCAACGCAAAAAACGAACTCTCGAAAGAAAGGCACGTGAAAGTGTTGTTTCAAGGTGAGGATAGTGATTTTGAGCCCTGGGAAGAGGTCCTTGAAGCCCAGCACATCCGTCGCGAAAGCTCCAAATCCTCCTGTCGCAAGGACTCCGTGAGGAAAGGAGCAGAGAAGATAATTCCTCTTGGGATCCAACTCTGCTGTCTTCACCAATTTCAGTGGAAAGTAATCACGGTAATATCTCCACCAAGCGCAGTTTCTCAACCACCTCGTCCACTTTTCGCTGCAAAAATCATCCTCATGAATGATATATAATATAATTAATGAAGTATGAAAAAATCGTCACGTCTAACGACGCATTTTCACACGTTCTTCTCTTAGCGATAAGATCGACTTGCGCAGCCAGAGTTTAATGTCCTGATATCAGGTAACGTCTCTCAGATAGGTAAAGTTACTAACGGGTTGAAAAAAGAATCACTCTACAAAGATTGTCATGGCTGAATAATTTCAAAGGTTTTCACTGTTGAACTTGAATGCAAATATTTTTTTTTTGCTTGGAATAAGGAAATAACGATACTTACCTTCTGCCCCCACGATCACAGGTCTTTCTGTCGAGATAAATCCACAGGAAGTAGGGAGCCATCAGATACCGATATTCGGAGAAAAGAAGAATGTAGATTGTCAAGAAAGTGCAGATGAAGGATCCCAAACCGACCACGATGATCCAACCACTTGCTGCCAAGGTCTGGAGCCTCCTCTTCGTCGGTACATTCAGAGGAGCAAATTGGATCCCCAGGAGCTCCATGGTACGTCTTAACCGCTAAAAAATGCAAAAAGATATTTTATCCCCATACAAATTGCCACGACAAAAATTCACCCGACTCTCTCGCATTTTCACGAATTTTATACACGCACCATCGTACGGCTTAAGCGCTAAAAAATGCAAAAAGACATTTTGTCCCCATACATTGGTCACGGATAAAAATGCACCCGAACTCTCTAACACATTTTCACAAAATTTATATACACGAAACGACGTTTTTAAGTAACTTTTCACCGTTGGCAAAAAAATCGTAACTATTATTCGCCGTTCATGAAAATTGGATGAACTCATCCCTGTCACATCTATACATTTAATGATAATTTTCAGGGTGGTGTGGGAATAATTTCTGTACTTAGATTTGCACAAGCACTGTACTTTTGCGCGCACTTACACCGCTGACAACTCGGTGGATGAATAAGTTTGACGAATCGGATGCGAGAGCTTGTCGACCGATATAGAACGAGTGCGTGTACCGAACACTATGTCATGTGTACGCACTATCTGTCGCTTTTGGAACGCGTTTGACCGAACGCCTTCGTTTCGAGAACAGGCTAAGCGTTAACCGAGTGACTTCGGCTAAAGACACTTCCGATACTTTTTTCTACTACTTATGAGCCTATCTAATCTAATATTCCCGATTTAGGGGCCCACCATTTGGAAACTCACGGCAGGTCTGTCGGTGCGTGAGTACCAGACGCACTCCTTAGTTACAATTTATGCGTTGAAATTGTCACAGTACTGTTTATCCACCGAGACATTCCCAATGAAATGAATTCATGATGTGACGATTTTATTAATCCTAACATAATCCGTGGAAAAATGACTGTGCCCCTTCTATTATGATTTATGTTTTAAAATAAAAAAAAAATGAAAGAGGACCGGGTGGGAACCTTGTTGGCATAAGTTTAAAGAGAAAAACGTGCTTTATTACCTTTCTAGTTAGTGGATATTTGATTAGCCAGGCTTAATTTCAATGACTCGGGGTATTTGATACACCTGTCGGTAAATGGGATTGTCAATCAAGGGCACATTAAAGTCGCGTACGAGTCATGCACCATACACGCGTCTTTCACAAGTCTTTCACTCGAGGCTCACGAAACGTCAATGACGTTTCCTCGCGCGGGAGATCGAATAAATCTCCACCATTTTTATTCGCCACATACACAGAGAAGGAAGGCCTGATAAGTACTGGAAATTGCGGCGAATTGGACACTGGGTTAGGTAACCGAGTCATTTGTGGGATGGAAATGAATTTTTTTACACTATTTACCAGTGGTTTAAGCCGGCTTGGGTAAATCGCGGCAAACCGTACGTGTCGGGAAGAATTATTTATAGAAACGTAACAGGAGAAGGAAGAAGAAAGGTGGACAATTCGACGAGCGGTAGAAATTGCAAAGGGCATATAATAATTATCAATAGTTTTGTCGATCTACTCTAGATATACACTTTTTACAGGGAGGGTTGTCAAAATCATCCAATAATTCGCCCAACAGCTATAACTGAGATAAAGCCTTATTCCAGTTGCCAAGTTGGAAGTACAATGAATTATCGCTATCATCATTCTACCAATTTTATCGTCAACTTTGGAATGGTCTGATAACTTATCAAAGGGAGGTGTGGCGAGTACAACGTTGCCCTGGTAAAAGAACAATAATCGCTTCTTCTTCGTCACCTGAACACTCGTACAAAATTAAAAGAGAAATGAAAGGAGAAAATAGAACTGAAAAAGAAACGTGCCGAGCATATCATTAGCATGCTTTACACATGCTCGTATGATCGGTTTCTTTTCAAGAATTCCGATAACATGACGAAACAACAGTATCGTATACTGGAATTATCATGAAAATTCTTTAAAATAGTTTCCAAGGTACAAAGTATGACACTGCCAATTACTATGATGCATGGATCAATTAATCATTATTGTTTATAATATTATGCGCGACAATTGCGACCGAACAAGGTTCGTCTCTGCAGATAAGCTCTTCCTGGCTTGGTGCGATCAATTTATGAAGCGAGCGCATCACTTGCGGGTATATTGTCGTGCGACTTTTTCCTCTATCTCTCGGTGCAGAGATCATGCCAAATGTCACGAACTTTCTTCTTTTACCAGCGCTCACCCGATTATGATAATCCGAGCAAAAATACACGATATCACGATCATCAGATCCAGTTACCACGGAAAATCGATACGGGCTTAGAGTTGCGATTCTGGGATATTAAGATCGGAGTGATCAAGTTATCAGTGTCGACAGCGAGCGACTTTTTAAAAGAATCCCTCGAACCTCTACGTCGATGCCTCTGATATTTCATCCGCCAATTCGTGGTCTTTAAAAAATAAAAATTCCCCCGAGAATTGAGAAGTTTTCAATTCACCGAGGATCGGGTCTCGGACAAATCAAGCAGCTTTGTAAGCGCCTTAACCAATTTTTTCCTAAAACCAGAGTCAAGTAACTTTGGATTGTCTTAGCTCGTTTTCGGACCTCTGGATAGCTAATCCGTCGTCGTCTCGATTCCACGATAACAGAAAATTCCCGGGTGCAGGAAATATGGCTCAGGGTCGCGACGACATTTTGGATAATTCCTTGTCCTGGACTCCAAGAGTCCAGTGAGACAATAATTCAGGAAATAGATTACATTGGTTAAGCCACGATCTGCTAAACTCATTATTCATCTCGGGGTCAAGTAAGTGCACGATTTATCAGCGATCTGTAAAATGATGCATTTCATTTAGCTGTCAGCACTTCATTGTTATCCATATCTCACGTCACTTGTTTCTGTCGTTCAGCGAGGGCGATTATTCCTCCGGAAATATACGGGACTATACGGGACTATACGGGACTATACGGGACTATACGGGACTATACTGGACTATACGGGACTATACGGGACTATACGGGACTATACGGGACTATACGGGACTCTACGGGACTCTACGGGACTCTACGGGATTCTACGGGACTCTACGGGACTCTACGGGACTCTACGGTACTCTACGGTACTCTACGGGACTCTACGGCACTCGATAACGCTCAAAAACACTCGAAAAATGGTCGATAACGGTCGAAGATGCTCCGAAACTGTCGAAGAACGCTCGATAACGCTAGTAGGTAAATGTAAAAATCATACGCGAAATAGCTCGGCTTATATCCGCGGCTAGGGAGGATTTTTCGCTGCATTCGGCTCTCACGCATACTCGTTATGAATGTAGCGCCGAACGCACTCATGCTCAACGCCATGCCCCGTAGCTTGGCGCTTGGCTGGTTGGGACGCGCGAAGATTTCTAGGAACAATCGCACTCGACAGATTCGCTGCATGCGAGTTCCGTACGTGACATCCACGCGTGCCCCAAAGCTCCGTATCACGTCGACTTCGGAGCAACAATGTACTTAGAGTAAAGAGGGCGCCACGAGTGTTCTTCCCTTACCATCAAAAGCGTGCAGTTCGGTAAGCGTAGGTAAGCCACCACCGTCAACTGCTGCATGGTATTACCATCACGAGTACGTGAGCCGCCAACGGCGACTAGTAGATGGTACCGCCATCGCGAGTGCGCGAGCTCCTATCAGAAATTCGTTTCGCCGCCCTTGGGGGCAAAAAACGGTGAAAGCTGACGTACGAAATCAGAGGGCAGCACAGGATGCGATCGCGCGACCGTGCCCGTGAGCAATCTCTCAACTCATCTCTGCTGCCGGGGTTAAAAAATGATCTGGCCTAGGCGTGTGTGCGTGTGGTTACTGAATAAAGAAAATGGCAGGGGCGACGATTAGGGCCAGTGAAGTTATTGCTCAGAACTTGACCTCGATTGGTGCCACTGCCGCACAATTAGTCCCGAAACTGTTTCCTTTCCAAACTCAATCTCGTTTACACGTGTTTTGCTTTCACCAACTAGGTTGACTGCACATCCGTTTACGTAATGTTTTCTCCACCGAGCAGATGAGTATGCCAAATGGTTAAAATACCAAACGGCCACAATGTCGAATGGTCAAAATACAGAGTGACCGAAGCGTCGAGTGGCCAATGCTCCAAATCCTCCATAGATTGATATGGACCATTAAATAAATCTAAAAGAAGAGTTGTACAAAAAGATGCAGCTATTATTTGCAATGCACTCTTGTACTCAGGACAGTCAAGGAATCACTTGAAAGGGAATTTGAGTATCGGCAGAGACATGGAGACCTTAGGCTAGAATAATCGGCGTTTAATGACCGCGCTCACCGCGCTATAATATCTATAATCATAATAATGATAATATTAATAATGTCAACGAACAATGTATCTCTCGATCTCGATTTCCATCCCGCGGATCTCGTGGCGGCGTGCGCGAGTTAATATTAGGCGAATACAAAATAATCCCACGTACCTCGCGATTTCGTCGCAGGTCTTTTGTTATCTCGGCATAGCCCTGTCACGAGATTCGCGTTTAATGTCGCCCGAACAAAAACTTATCTACAACAATTCGCTACCCCCATTTCGGGCGAATCTGAAACCTACGACCGAGCGTCATATTGTCGACGAGACAAGAGATTAACATTTTTGCGTCAAATGCTCTTTCAGTCGAGGGTTTCCAGTTCCTCGATGCGTGTTAACAAAGTGAAGGTGAGAAATTCTGCGGTTGGAATTGATCCGAGATTTAATGATAAGATTGATAAGGCTGACAGGGGAGATTTCGTCGGTCTGGAGCGATCTCAGCTGACGCACCGAAGTGGCCTCGTTAACACGTAAAATAGTCTCCAGGAATGGCGTCGACCAGCGACATATTGTTTCGGTAAAAAAGGAGAACAATAAATAAATAACATCGTTCAATCGTCGTTTACATACGCTAAGTCCCGTTCTCGCCTCTTTCCGAGGAATTTAAGGGAAAAGCGGAACCGCGACTTAGTTGACGGAAGGGGTTGTACAAAAACGACGTTTTTATTGCAGGTTTTACCAAAAAAATAAAAATAAAACTGGTTAAAATTATAATAATAAATCGACGCGAGTTAATGGAATTTCGAAGAAGACTCCGATTGTCTGGAGGCGATGGAAACTGAACGATGTCACGAACGGGTCATACGCACGCGTACCTTGGAACATTTGATAAAAGAAATGGAACATACGAAGATTGTACAGGTTCTTCGGCGAACTTGTCCAATTACGTCCTTCACACGATCGAACAATTCGTTCCTTTGGGAACGCAATGAATGACAACCCATTCTTCTTCGACGAAGTGCTCGATACCGATTATTTTGCCATAATTAGATAATTACTCCTAATAACCCCTTTTGTTCATCGGAGCATCGTCCAAGAAGAGCGCGTCTTTAAGTCCAGATTTTAAAAGGGTGACTCGATCGTACACCAAAGCGATTCGCTCGTCGGAGCTGGACGTGCGATCTCCTCCTCGAAGGCGAATGTCAGGTATGACAAATGGATTCAACTGGTGTACGATTTAAAGCGCTAAAACCGTTCCTTTTAACAACAATTATCGTCTAGGAATACGTCGTAGCGAAGCTCTTAAATTTATTGCTTTACCTATCCTAGGTGTAGCTCGCGAACGTCCGCGGCAATTGGTCCTTCGTCGCACTTTCCTCAAACGAGAGTAAAACTTAACGCGGTCATTCGTGTCGGTAATTAGTTTAGTTACTTTTTTTTTTCTTTCAAGTATATATTATAATAATATCTTCTCGTTCAGGAAATAACGAGGAAGAAGAACGACGAGCGGCAACGGGCGACTACGATGATGCGACGGTGATCGATCGATCAGCTGATCGGCGGATTAACTGACCGGTCGATCAGCTGATCGGCTACGCGGGACGTCTGTGAGAAACCAGTCGCTCTGTCCAACTAGTCGGTTAGAATTTCATCTGTTATCCGCAAAATACGTTTCGACGCGTCCTCGATATAACGTTTAAGAAAGTCACATAGTAAAATATCGATATACAACATTCGAGTAGACAATCTAATAACAGTCGATAGGAAAATAAGAGTAAGTGATTGGATCTTTCGGGCGCCGAGGCCCCACACTCTACTCGGCTCTCTTCCCTCGTGTTCACCGATTCTCTCGTTTTCCTTCGGTCTCCGTACTCGCTTCCGATCGATAGTCTAAAAGCTATTGGGCTTAAAACTTAACGCGTGTTATCTATATATTATCCGCCGACGTACGCGTAGACGTGGAGGGAGCATGCCAATGGTAAAAAGTGAGATCAACGTTATGCACGAGTAATGTGATTCTAAAGTCTGTTTTTTTTTTGTTTCTGGTACCGTTTCTTTTCGCTCCAAGATTATTAATATCGTGGAAAATATTCTCAGTGACAACAAAAAAATTCTCATTTAAATGAAATGTCTCGAACATTAATACTTCGTGATATTCAATGGAATATTAGGTGTAAGGGAAAATTCTGTCGTTTTTAGACGCATAGAAGTGTACTTGTTAAAAACGACAGAACGTTCCCTTACACCTAATGTTGATACCTCAATTATTCTAAATTCAAGTAAACTGGTTGTTCTGCCGATTATTTATGAGATACCAGAAAACACTAAATCTCAACGTTATTTCTCGTTTCTGCCCGTAGCAGTCCCATTCTCTACCAGTAGAAAACTCGGCCCACGCGATACACGCTGAACATATTATCGAGGATGTATGTATATGTATACTATGTACAGAGGAGTAGGATTCGCCATTTCGATAATAATTAGGTACTAACAACGTAAGGTCAGTCGCGGCGAGTGCGATGACCGATTCGACTCTACGCGTCGAAATACTGATTATTGGTGTTTTGGCAGCCAATGGTTTTTCATCAAGCGATTATCGGACGATTCCCGAGATTACGTGCCGGCTCCCCTCAAAGGGATCGAACAATAATTTTTCTTCGGCCGTCCAAGCCGTCTTGCGGGTAACGCGCTAATTTTACAAATCTAAATTCGTGTCGTCAATGGCGGTATTTACTTACGTAACTACTTTACACGGGCGCAACGTTTGCACTGGCGGGGAGTACATACATACTTTTGGTTTAAACGATCATTTTTTTTTCCCTCGCACAAAAGACTGAACTATATTTATATATGTGTGTATATATATAACTACATCGGAGAAGGGCACGAATCTATATAGAATCCGTGCATCAGCGAAATGCTTCTCCGCAAACCTACGTAATCTACTAAAAACGCGTCGACGGAATAAAATAGTCGAATTGCAACCCTCGCAAAAAATCATTCTATACAATAATCCGTAGAAACACCTTAGCAAGTATCACATATTGATTATGGATGATTTATCTAGTACTGTACAACTGCTCGAAACAACCGGCACGTTACTAATCTCGACCTTGCGGCCGAGACTACCTTTCCTCTCGCTCTCCAATGTACTGTACATGTCCAAATTAATTAACGTCAAATCATAAAATATCCAAGTACGTATCTGAGGAAGAAGCATCGCGCTCGCTGCCGTTAAATATGATTTATTTTCTTTTTCTTAAGCCGTTGAACACCATGCGACGAGGTCTGGGGACGATTGATTGGGGTCTACTGATTTTTCTCCATTGACCTGGGATCGATAGATCCTTCTTCGGAACGGCTCTGTCAAGCTCGAAATACACTTTTCTTTTTCTTTTTCTTTCTTTTCTACTGACGAGTTGCCGAGGTCCTTTCGGCGATTCAAGCACCGTGGACTCATCTTTAACCAGCGATGTAGCTGCATCGGAACCACTTTTTGGTTGGCATCTACTTTATTTACGGCCGTGTATGCTTTGGCTTACTGGCAATCGAATACTTCGCGATCGTTTATGGATATAATATTCGACACGGCGACGTCGAGAGAAGCTGCGAAGTTGTGAAGATGATTTTCGGACCTCCTCTCCTGTCCTCGTCCTCTTCCAGTTACGTCGAATTTTGCGGATACTGCTCTGGCTGGTAATACCTCAGACCATTTATCTATAGATATGAAAAGGTTGACGCGTTAACCAATAGTTGCTACATATTACATACGAATTATTAATCATTCTGTACGACATACCGTCATGTCGTATTCCGTGATGTACGCCGGGATTTCCAATTGATCAGGTGACATGACTTCATAGAGGTACTCCACCCCAGGTAAATTGTGGACCTTCTGCTTGATCGCAGGTGCCATGAATGTCGTGAACCACCAAGTCATCATCTGCATTAAATTGAAGAAACATTAAATAATTGTCAATAATTGTATATTTTCTTGATTTTAAATCGATGGAAAGAAACGATCTCAATAGTAAACGCCGTGATTAATAAAATGTAGAATCTTCTCTCGATTTTCATTTTTTTTTTCGACCGTGGCATTAAATGCAAATTTGTCAATTCGTTTAGATCGGCGAGAAGTTAATTTTTCACCAGGTTTGCGATAAGTTTTAGGTAAGTTTTAATAGTGGCAGGTGGAAGTACCGAGACTCGGGCATGCAGTTTCTCGTCGGCAATTAGTTCCGTGCAAGTTGAAGGTCCCGGTCTTGCGTTATGAGAAAATCACGCGGTGTCCTTCTAAAACGCGTAATTCGATAAGTTCCCGTCACAATGCAAGACGATGCCACCGACATTAGACGCCAGATAAGAGAACATCTGGCAGCGCCATTGTGCCGGCAATTAACCAATTAGTAATTACCGAGCGAAAATAACGATGGCGAAAAACTCGTTGTATAATCGCGCTTTATTACTCGGGACTAACTGATCGGCACGATCTACTTCGAAAACCTTACACGATGAGTAAAACGCTTAAGAAGTTCCGATAACTATTTCGATAGCAAACTCGAAGAACTCCTCTGAGCTCTACAAAGTCTGCAAACGAGCGGTGTTAAAAAAAGAAAGTAATGAATGATGAATAAATGAACCACGCCCGGGCCGATGTAATTCGGTAGCAAAAAAGAAAAAACGAATTAAGAAAAAAAAGGAGGACGAGGCACGTCTCAAGCTGCCTTTTCCTCTTCGACCAGGGAAAGAAAAATGAGAAAACTGGCGTTTACGTACCTTGGTCCAGAATGTGGGATGAACGATGTAGAAATGTTTCAGGTTCTTCTTATATCTGGAACGACACGAAGAAGGGTGAGATATTTTCCCCCGCCTTTCGAGACCACGGGTTATTTCTTTATCTCGTGAAAATAGAATGGCTTATCGAATAATTTCCTCCCTTTCGGTGTAAATGGATTCTTTTTTTTTTCTCGGCTCGTTAATTCTACTTTATGAAGAAACAATGAAAAACAGAGTTCGACGGGGTGACAAACTTACTTATAAGGAAGCACGTTGTAGACCTCCCTGAGCCAGTGTAAGCTGGGGTAGTTGTTGCTAGTCGTCAGGGTGTGAAAATAGGCGATCACATAGTCACCCTTGACGATCGGATCCAGCAACTGGATCAGGTATAATAAGGCCTGAAAGGAGAGCCGTGCTTAGTGGACTGGACTTTAGCTTTCGCGATTTTCCCCTCGACGTAGCCTTTGGAAAATTGTCCCCTCGTCAATTTTCGTAGGGGTACGGAATTCACCCCTCGAGATAGGAGAGGGCGTGCAAAGGCGAGGGTGTGTACCTCCGGGGCGCACTCTTTTAGAGCCAATCGATGACCGAAGGGTTGCGAGAGGGTTACCATTCTCGGGGCCTTCCTCTCCGCTTTTTCTCTCTCTCCAAACGTACTATACGAGTATGCAGTACGTACGTGAGGTCTTACGAGTGTACCCTAACCCAGATTTATTTAATTTTCAATCGGGGTCGTCCGACAAGGGCTCCTTTTAATGCCAGGGGAAATCAATTCCGAGGCGCGCCTAGATTGTACATACTCCGTAGACAAAATAAAAAAATAAATAAAATAAAAATAAAGAAATCCGATTTTCCCGACATTTTTTCGAGATCTCCCCCACTCTATCTCCGGTCTAAATAATCAAGATACAATTTCGCAGTTACTTAACGTTTTATTTTTACATAATTCCCACCGATACCTCGTAATCAGGGATATGCAGTGAAATTTGACAACAGTCACCCGAAGACCCTTATCACGCTGAAATTTTCTTATTCAATTCACGCCCGTGCCTTGCAATCCGACACGTCATTTCTCGCTACGTTTCCGCTATTACGCAATGACGGGTAATAACTATCGTGATTCAGAAACGCGTCGTCAGGTGCAATTCCGCGGTCTGCAACGAGAGACATACGCAACGTTATAGGCGCACTTCGGATCTCGATAGATCGCTGATGGAATCGTTCACCTTCCAGCAAGATCAAGATCGGTCTTACGCATCGCCTAACGTGAGCGTACCAGCGACATGCGACCTTGTTCGGAGTCATTTATAGCGCGAGAGCATTATCGCGGATTGTCCGCGATAGCTGTCTAATTAGCGCCGTTACTTCTCCGCTTTGCGGAAATTTTCAAGCGGCCCACGTCGTCGGAAACGTCGCTCGAGAAATGCTCCATTTTCGGCTGCCTTTTCACGAGCTGTTAAATTTACATTAAACTCCCCGCTACGATGAGCTCTCTTTGACCGTGCTTCATGCAAATGATGACGTATCGGTTACTGTCACAGAAAATTATGGAAGAAGAAAAAAAAAGGAGAAAAACGAGACGAGTATGCAACGAGTATGACTATATCTCATGACTCATGGCACCTCGTTCCGTACAAGGTTCGATTTCCTATAGTAATGCTTCCGAGTGTGAGCTCTTTCAACAAAGTGGACGGGCCTGGAGCGACTTCCTCTATTTTAAGTTTTTTAATCGTGAACGGAGGAAATGTCAACTCTTCGCGTATTCCCATTTGTCGGACAATTTCTGAGTCAGCACGTATGCTCGGTATCATCGAATAACCGCGGTTTATGTCCTGAGAAAGGTATATCATTTCAAGTCCAACCGTAGAATTAATAATTTGAGGTAACATCATTTTAAAGCGTATAAAATATGTAATACAAAGTGGAGGAAAAAGTGGGTCCGAATAAAAGTCGCATCTCTCGTGTCGAGGCTAGGCGGGAAATGGCGTGAAAAGCGTCTCGCGGGCCATTTCGAAAATTTTCAACGAGCGCTCCAATTATCGGGCTTCGCGGAAAGTGGAGTCGCGTGTCGCTGATATAACGTCACGGGTATAACATTAGGGGTGGCGACGGGGGGTTAGTTTCACCCGGTTTACACATACCCCTGGAGTTTATTTCCGTCGTAGGTGCAGGCCGAGGTGTACGACTAGAGATCGATCGCAAATATCCGAGATTAGTATCTAGAGGCCGTTAAAAAAAATTCATCCCGGCCGCCCCAAAGGCGAATGAATTCTCCATTGACCTAATTTAGCGGCAAGTGCGTGTCGTCAAGAATAGCCTTAGGGGTGTCAAAGAGGCCTCCGGATTCCTGCTCGAAACCGCGTCCTGTCGATTGACCGGAGTTAATCGAGCCGCAATTTCTCCCGGGAATTTGAGGACACCGATTGGCCGATTATAAGGCGAGCAAAGATCCGTGATACCGCATGCCTTAAAAAAGTTTACTGGGACGAGGTTGCCGTCCCGGCGTTAACCTTCTTTCTCTCGTCAGTAAATCCGACCGAGAGAGGGACCCTAAGAATTGATCTCGCCGACGGGCGAAACCGAGATCGCTATCGATCGAAAGTCGTTCTTGGTCTACATTCGACGAACGTCGGCCTAATTTTCTTAGCTTTTTTTTACATCGACACGGAATAGAATAGTTCACCTTTACTCGTGTAGTCGTAGAAAATGTGAGGATTTCCAGGGAAAATGACGTTTTCGGCGAAACCGCGGTGGAGGGGTCAAAACCGAGGCAGAGAGAAGCCGGAGAAAAAGGTTCTCTGAAGTAGGTCGAAAGGGGGGGAATTTTTCTTTTCGAGTCGAGTGCAAACTCAGAGTCGCCCGTTTTTCTCCGCGGTAACGTCAAAGAAACGTGGCGGGAATTTTAGAAAAGGAAAATATCCCCCGGGTGACGTACAATTCTTCGCGATCGTCAAGGAAATGACGCTCCCTTACTGAACAAATTCCAGCGGCTTGGATGTATCGATCATGTTTTGGACGATTTTTAACAAGTCGTTAGCTCGTCTCGCGACCCATTCAGGATTAGTTGAATCAACGTTTAATTCAGAAACTCCTCGTTTATCGTCGGCCTCGGGGAAGCAACGACTTGTGTGAATGATCTTGAATATCGCTCTCTTTAGCTTGGCACGGTTCGTTAAACATAATCGTGTCGTCGACGTCAAAAGGGAATAGTTTCGCAATGCCGACGACACCAACCGTCAGGTGACATACAACCTGTCGAGGCTGGACAGTTAAAGAAAAGAAAATAAAAAAAAAATAAAAAAGGATTGAACATACAGCTTTCCCGAAACGAATACATTTTACCGTCAATCGATTTTACCTCGCCCCCACGTTACCGTGAATTATTTTTCCAATAAATCCAAAACTTCCATGTCAATTTTTTCTATGAATGTACCCAGCTTCGAAGGGGAGAAGAAAGTGAAAAGAAGGGAAGTCGAAAGTTTCGGGTGCCTTTAAAGTGTCAGTACCAGAGTACGTGGGGCCTTGAACTTCAGGCTTTCAGCTCGGTGCAGTTCGTTAAACCGAAACGATGTCAAAAGACCCGAAAAGGGGAAACCAGGACTCGCGAAAACGCCTTTGGCCTCTCCACGTGAATCGAATGATGTTAAGTCTATTTCGGTAAGTGAAATATCGACCTGCCGCGATAACTCGCACATCCCCAACAGTTAACCCTTTCTTCGAGGTCAGGCCACGAAATCGCGATGCAATTCTCTCCCTGTGAATTTTGCATACAGGGAGGAAATATCCTCAGTGATTCCATTCCCGGATGATTCCGGAATAATTAATACGTCCGTCAATGTTAATCCCTGGTGGCGTATTTGCAAATTTCTCGCCGGGGATCTCGCAAATACGGGGAGGGTTTCCTCCGTGACGATATTCGCGGATGATTTGGCATAATAATTAATATCCCTTTTAATGACAGTTCCGCATGACATTCGCAGGTCGATACGAATCAGCCTCGGCACGTGTCATCGGAAATTGCAATTACGCGGTAACCCCACGTGGGTCGCCTGCGATTTCCCTGGTGCTCGGTCAGCATTCGTGAGCGAAATTTGACATGCCAACGGAGTTCCGGGACGTTTCAGAAAGTTCTCACTTGCATAACTTCTCGTTTATGCAATCGAGAGAGCCGAAGTGCAGCGAGCCGTCAAAAAATATTTATCGCATAAAAATGCCGGAGCGTACGCTCGATGGGAGTCGCGTGAGTTATTGGACTCGTTTCGGGGCTGGTCCGGCAGTGTTTTTTTTTTCAAAAATCTCTCCGTTCAATTTTGTACCCATTCGAGCGATCGGGACAAAGGCAGGGACGGTGGGGAGGGATCTCGCAGTTTCGGGAGTTTTTACTGAAAATTTATCGTCGCCGCTCACCTTGTCGAGATTGATTTCATTAGCAGGGAACCATTTTCCAACGAAGATCACCACCGGTCTGCCCTGACGATCCACCCCTTTCTGATAGAGGCACCCGATCCCCGACACCTCCGACAGGTCCTCCGTCTTTGCTCTCCTCAGCAACCTCTCGTACCTGTCACAAATCAGAGCTTCATGAGGAAAGAAAGAAAAAAAAACAATGATAAACGGGCGGCGAAAATTAGGAAAAATATTTTCAAGCACCTCCGTAGTTTCCATTAACCGAGTCCGACCGGCGACAAGCCAGGGACACACGCTGGGGTTTTCCGGAATACTTTTCCAAGCGAGAAGCTCGCCCAAGGGGACGCTGAAAGGGTGAGCTCACGGCGGGCGGATATTGGAAAAGTTATTATACCCAAGCCGCGGTGAGCTTTGTACCACCCTTGAAGAAAAACCCTCGGTAAACCAACAATTTTCCAGGGATACGAAAAGTTCCTCCGCATCCACCTCTCCGGTAGGTGAAACGCTACCAGTCACGAGGGATTAAATCCCGACCAGGTTCCGTTCTCCCCAGAACGAACTCAGGAACCTTGCCTTTTCCAATTTTCTCCAAACGGCAGAAATTCCGTAGACATGGTAATTAACCATAAATGGCGTTGAACCGTACTTTGTAATTCAAAGGCGATTTAAATTTAGGGCTGCGATGACTGGACGCTCGAATCCAACGCGGCGCGAGTAATTCGCGAGTGCCTTCTCGCGCGCTCGTAGGAAGCATCAGCTGATCGGCTCGAATGAGGAAGGGGAATTTCTTAGCGTAGACGTCAATGGGCGGGTTTTACAAGGAGGAGGAACCGCGAGGAGCCGAAAGGCGAGGAGAGACATACTCCCGGAGTGTCTCGGAAGGTCTCGTTATTCGCGTCACGGTCGCCCGTAATTTTAGATCTCTAATAATGTCGAGTGCGCAATTGTCGATGTTTACGTGAAAGCGGGCACAGAGGTCCCTTGCGGTGTAAAACACGGGTCGATCGGTGGTTCCACCCTCGGTTCCTTCCTTGTTCCACCCTCGTTTCACCCTCGGTTCTACCCTAACCCTGGCTCCTGGTAAACCCCGGAGCTCTTCCAATTTGTTCGGGCCCGCGATTAGAGGCGATCGATTTCCCTTATACGAGCCAATGGGCTTTGACCGGTCGAGGAAACGTCGCCAGGATAGGCCGTCTGCCAGGAGAAAATGGGGGAAATCGATAGGCCCTACGCCGCGTGTCGTCCTTAAGCGTCCTCAAAAAGTTGAGTCTCGTCGATAAAATTCCCACGAGAGTGCGAAAACCTCTACCTAGCCGTTAACCCACGGCTCACCGGCGTCGGGATAATTTTGCAATTACCCGATACCTCTCCATCATCCTCCCAGGCCATGGAAGAATGGACGGTCTGTCGCGCTCGCGAATATAGTGGTCGTTCAAGAGTGCCTATCAGCGTCGCATTGCGCGTACCCGACATCTAGACCGCACCGTGACAAAGGAATGGGTCATTTTACCCTCGATTCTGTTATTTCGTCCTTTGCGGGAGGACGTTTCCGCGTCCGGCAAATATTTAGAGACTTAGTTGGCCTCTTCGGGAGTCTTGGACGCACGTTCGCGAGGATAAACACGTCTCTTGTTGGGGACCATCTACACGTACCGATTGTTTATGGCGACTCGACGCGCCTTCTTCGTCGCCTCTATCCTCGTTTTGCACCCGTACCTGTATTTTTTTCCTCGTTGAAAATTAAAACTGATTAAACGATCCCGCCCACGAGATCAGTCCATGACGGTGTTACTCTGGCGATTCGCTCGGGTCCGCGTCACGTCTTCTCGAAAGAAACCGAGGGGACAAACCGTGCCAATGTCGAGTCTCGATTTTGGGTCAAGAGCACGATCTTTGCATTCCGCCACGCGGAGAATCCGCAATTCGCCTCCTCGAGAAATTCACACGTGTTCCTCGTAAAGTGACGTTAGAGATTGGTCACGACACCCTCGACGTGTCGCCCCGGAAATAGGACGGCCACAAAGTCGAGTGGCATTTGCGAAATACCCCTTTCCAAATAGAAAGAACAAATGAAATAAACGAAACTAAACGTGAACGGTTGAGGTGCTATTTTAGAGCCCGTTGCCTCTCCATTGCTATAGATAAATAAATAAATGCTTTAATAAGAGGTATTGCAGAACGTATCTTATTGTCTCTGCGATAAAGCCGATATTTCCGAGTCTATGTCACGGAAAAATGAGCTTCATCGCTCAGCGAATAAGGTGACGTTTGACTCTTCCGAAATTAGAATTTAATTCCAGTGGAAGGGGGGATTGATTCACTACCCGGTCATGAATCTCAAGTTCTTGCACCAAAGTCAACAAATAACAATACAAGGTAGAGCTACCCGCCAAGTGCAACCGAGTGCCTTTAGTCGTGAACCGGAGGAATGACAATAGGCACGGCGCCATCGTTCAACGTGAAAAACAAATAGTAAAATAAGTATATACAGAATATGTACTTTGGTAAATTCAAACGCAAAATGAACATGGAATAAAATAAAATGACCTCCCTTTTGACGGGATGAAATTGATATGAATTTTGAAAATAATTCAACCGAGCAGTAAAATGACTTTTCTCGCGGCGTCTCCACTCGGCCATGAAGCTTGATAGTAGTTTCGGAACAATGTTACTCCTCTTCTCTATGTATTAAGCCGTTTCATTAGCTAGTCACGTGCTCGGCTTTTGACAGCTATCTGGATCGTGCATGTGCATCCGCATGCCTGGTTTATGCACCGAGTGTGCTCGCAAAGTGAACTACGCGACACGTGGAAAGTGATCGCGATTCTAACCGCGAGACACCGGCACATTATCGACATTACGTCGGTCTCTTGGGAAACGCGCGTATGCGTATCGCGAATCTATACACGAGACGCGACACACAATCGATGCAGAGGCACACATGTGACGTTGATAACGCCGTCCCGTTCTGACGTCTGCCGGCTCGGCCCATGTGCACACAACGTCATCCACGCATGTGCGGGAAGACTCGGAAAAAAAAACGAAAGAAAAAACGGGCGAAAAGAAAAACTGATATCGGATATCTCGGATAGGACTTGAAGTTTGAACGCCTCTAGTGGACAGAGAGTCGCAAGGATATATCTAGGAAAGTAGACAAAATGAAAAAAAAAAAAAAAAAAGTTAAGAAAGATTACGAGACCATTTTTCATCCTCCACCCCCGAGCACAGCTCGGAAAGGTTGACGGCAAAGTGACACCGTGCAACATCGCCCATTACACCTGTCGAAATAAAACAACCTCGTGATGTCTCCGTTACCTCCGTCCGAGAAATCCACGGTAACCACCCGAATGATTTATCGTTATTTTTCGTAGCCGTCCCGCGACACTCCGCCATCCGCGAGTCGCGTACCACGGAGATAATTATCTTTAAAAGTAAAATTACATCACTCATAAAACCACCCGGTAATTAAATCCACCCCAAAGGACGCGAACGAGGTCCTCGGGTTGCCAATGGCACGGCACCATTCCACGACGAGGTCGCCGTAGGTTACCAACCGAGTAATAATCCCTGGAGAAAAAAAAATATATACACATATACATATTCATTGTCCAAATTCGTTTGTTAATTTTAGAGGGTACTTCAGGAAAGAACCCGGACATTCCACCCAAATCCGCCGAATTATTCGAACGTGATCCACCGAAAGTTGCCAATCAAAGGATCTTGTCACGTTGCCCGAATATGTAATAACGATATTCCATAATTATTGATCGGCCGAACGGAAAGTACCGACTCGGTCGAATATCTTTCCGCGCGCTCGACGATTTCGATTTCCTCGGTTTTCCGGAATACCCACCGATCCTCGTCATCGATCACATCCACCATGTCGATCATGACCATTCTCTCGGACCCTCCTGCGGGGGGTCGGTCGAGTCTTCCCTGCGAGCTAGCGTATCCAAACAAAAGTGCGTCTTACGGCCGGCTTTACGGAAGGTTGAGGCTTCGCCTTGACACTCCGAGTCGATCGAAGCCGAGGTTCGACCTTAAGGAGGAGCGCTCCTAACGGCGAGGCGATTCCGGATCCTTGTGGCTCCTGGGGCCGAGTCGCGAGGTCGGGGCTTCGCGGTGCTCGCTCGCGAATAGCTCACGGCCGACTGAAACCTGCCGGTAGGTTCGGGCTCGAGAGAGCCTAGAGTTCGCAGTGGTGAGGCCGTGCGCTCAGTCCGACAGGGGCCACGGCGCCTGCTCCAGTCAAGGAGCCGAGCGACGCCAGTCGTCGCCTTTTTAAGCCCGTTTCCACCGAGCCGAGACGCTTGTCGCACTGCGCCGTTAAAAAGCGCCTCTCGAAATTTTCGCCCGGTACGAAAATCCTTTATCCTTGAAGTTTCGCCGAATATTCGAGCGCAATGTCCCCAATTAAAGCCCAGAGATAACGATATTCACTGAACCAAAGAGGTACCAATGAAATATTCCGCTAATTCAATGAATAATTTAATTAAAATAATTACTCGACGACTTAGACAAACCGAAATAAATTCTCGTGATTCCAAGGAGACGTTGCTTTCGGTTTACTCGAGGTTCGTTCGAGAGAAGTAACTATTTCAGTTAACGAGATATTTTCTCGGAATTATTCACAGAAATGTTCCTTTGGTTCGATGGAGTTTCTTTTTTCCCCAGGGTGGGAGTAGGTCTTAGGGTTTTTCGGAGAGGAAGAACTGCGTTGTGAGGTGTAGGCAGAAAGGGGGATTTCTTTTTTCTTCTATGAAGGAGTGGAGAAAGAAATGGCAAATCTAATCTGGGGTGGGTTAAGGGGCGTCGCGACTCCATTCCTCGTTTTTTTAAGCCCGTTTTTATCTCGCCGGGACGCCTGTCGTCCTGTGTCGTTAAAACGGTCCTTTTTCCGCTCCCTTAAATTTAGCCGAATTTTCGGCCGGGATGAAAGTACTCGGTTAAAGGGGGATTTTCTCGGAGAAGAAAAATTACGTCCTGGAGTGCAGGTGGGAGGTAGGGATTTTTTTAAACGAAGATGTGGAATTAGTCGTGCGGATGCTGGCCCTTTTTTTTTCTTTTTTAGTCACCTTCCCTTCTGCGAGGATGTAGACATTTCTTTGACGAATTTTGTTTAAGAGAACGGAAAAATACCGTAAGTAACGAAAC